CAACAAAGACATGGACAAACTCTAGAAGAGGGTAGGAGGAACGATCGGAGGATTATGAAACACGACCTAGGTGGGAATGTAAACAGAAATTGTTTAGCTATTCTGCAATAACTGTCCTTACGCAGCTTCCGCATTTCGTTTGTAAACTATGAACTTCCCTCCCCCCTCCCCCCCAGTTATGTTGATGTAATATATACTTATTTCAACATCACTGCCTACAGTACACATCGCAAGAATAGGAAGGATTCTGTCTATATGCAAAGCCCTGGAAAATCTCCTGTATAGTCAAGTGTTGTGAAGGAGCTAATTTCTTTATTCTTTCAACTTTTAGTAGTAGTAAGCATAAACCTGAGTAAAACACCAAAGCCGGTCACACAACCCAAGTTCAAAGTCCACAATTGCTTAATCATACAACACATTAATGATATTTTATAACACGGTGGAATACATAATCTTATATAGCTTATTTACTACCACGAAGTTTTATTGTACAACCGCTAAGTTTCTAATCTCCTCAGAAGCCTTTGCAACAAGCAAAGCTGAGTCAACCTGAGAACTTCTAATACAGTAAAATGTATAAATTATTTGCAAAAAGGGCAATAAATGCCTGATGGCAAAACTCCTGTTCACTACTCACTAACCATTCCCCTTCTGAAAGCTGGTAGTTCACATTACGGCTTTTTGAGGATTGTCTTAAAGAAAATAAAGCCAAGGTTTGTTTGTTTGTTTGTGTGAACAGGTATGTTTGATCGAGCAATTGATCTATACATCTGTCTGCTTTGTATTGCTTAGCTTGCAGAGGTTCGTTGAACGCTTCTGCTTGTCATATACTAAATAACTACAGGTATTCAAATGTTCCTTAGAGTGACCATCATCTGAAGGTGCAGAGGGTGTTCTGGTTCTCCTCTTAGTGTTATTAAACTCAGGTTCTGCATGTCTAGAAAGACACGCTTGCACATACTCATAGGCCACAAAAGAGATATTTACTGAGCTGCCCAGGGACATGTGAGGGTAAGGTCAAGGCAGACAGTAATTCCCTACTGCAAGTATTTAATGCATGTAACTATTTTAAGTAAATGTCACATGCTCGGGTTCACTGTGAAGATCAATTTGCAGTAACTTTCTCTTGTTTCTTCAGCCTGACTACCAACTTATGTTAGGCAGAACAGTTGCACTATTGCATTTCCTCTGCTATTAAACAGAATTGAGCTCGGGGGTTGCGATCCCAAGGAACACTTTGAAATCGTAGTTTTGGAATATGTCATTTCCCGCGTGAAAGGGAGTTCTGTGTTGTGAGAGCAAACCGGAATTGTGCTGTGATGAAGCAATGAGAGAACTGCTTTCTGCTTGTATTTTTTTACCCCATCCCACCAAATTCTGTATGCTGCCCCAGGTTCTTTGTGTCTGCTGGTCAAAGCCCTGAGTATGTATTTTTGCCTCCTGAAGAGTGTCTCTATCGCATAGCTTCCATGGGATATGGACAGGATAGTGACTTAGTGGTTTACCAGTCCTATTTTGCCTGCCCAAGTTCCCATCCCTTTCCCCCCCCCCCCCGCCACGTACATACGCTTCAGAGATTCCTGTGTGGATTGGAAATAAATTGAATTTAAGAGCTCATAAGCTTCGTGGATCTGGAATGATACCTAAGTGACAGACCTGTGAGGTCCTGCTTTACGTAACAGGTTCAGGTCCAATTTCATGTCCAGCTTAAGAGATCAGTAGCTGGCACTGCTGCCGAAAGAAGTGTCCAGCCACCCTGCCTGTCCTTGACTGACCCCGTCTATTGTGCCAGTAGAAGTTTCTGGCACTGGTTCACTCAAATAAGCCATCCTTCTGACTACATCCTCCCACTGACTCTTCCAAAAAGAACTTTTTATTTGTGTTCATTTGTTTCCCCACACCCAATGCTATAAAGAATCGTACAATGAGCTGACGTTATGCAGAAAGCCACAAACCTGGTCTAAACACCCAGTTCTTCAATTTACCTCAGGTCTGTGCTTAGCTTCATGTGACAGGGAGAGTTTACTGACATTTATGTGTCTATTAAAGATAAGGGTAAAAATGGACAGGCTGACAAACACACATGAAAGAGAGGATGGGGCAGTTGTCCATGCTCCTACAGTGCTGTGGGCTCCCCTGGGGGAGTCTGAGGATCCTTCTGTAGGTTTTGTCTAAAGGGGAACCAGACCAGGCTTCAAGCAAACCAGAGGCCTGTCCCACAGCTGGCACAGCACCCAGGGCTGGCAGAGGGAGGGCGGCTGGGTAAGGATGGTGCCAGCCCCATGGAGAAGCAAAGGACACAGCCTTCCTCCAGCCGCAATCCTCCTCCTGCCCGTGAGAGGCCAAGGGCAGTGTCTAGGAGGCCTAGCACTGGTCGTGTTCTTCCTTAGCAGTTATATCACCACAGCCTGTATTGTTTTGTAAGTGGGACAGGGTATGAAAAGAGCAGCGGGATTTCAAAACTGGCTGTGAGTGAGCATGGACTGAGGTTTCAACCTTGTTTGGATTTACAGGCCCACCAAAATCTTACGAAGGTGTAAGAGGTCTAAGCCTTTGCACGACAGGTTTACGGCCAAATGCTTTTATTATTGCTATGCCAGCAACACCCAGTTCACTGGTGCTATAGGAAATATATGAAAATTCTCTTCATTTTATATTGTAGCTCCTGAGTAATCCACTTAAGTGTGAAATAGTAAATTTGCCCTTAATTCCTAGCTGCATTCTTTGCAGATCATGTAAGTAGCAACTCGGTCATCACCTGTGCTTGTATCCTAAATGTATGGTTGTGACACTTTACAATTCTGAGATCTTTCAATGGCAAGTATTAGTCAAAACTCCTTTATAAATAGGAACACAATGGTTTTATTTTTGCTTTGCTCAGCATATCTTTGGCTGCCAAAGGAACATACTAAACTAGCTGCCCTATTCAGTCACCTGTGGGAGCACAGTGGAATGTATTGTGTAAAAAATAGCCTGCTTTTAAACAGGGATATGCTTGCCTCATCTAAGATCAGCTCCATCTCTCTGTCCACTTAAAAGGGTCTTTAAAATTCTTAAACGTTTTTAAAAGAGTGTAAAACTCGTAATTAGATTTAAGCTGAACCTTTTCTCATGATGGTGGTATTACAAAAATAGCATTTAGGAAAAAAAAATTCTTTTTGGTCATACAGAGTGGTTCTTTCTGGTATATCAGAAATGTTTGTCATCTCTCTGGTGTTAAATATTAATTTGGACCACTCTCTCTGACAAAGTTCGTAAATGCAAATCTTCTTTTCTGACACCAGATATCAAGCAACGTGTAAGGACTGTTATTTCTGTATTTCTGAGCCTACTGAGGAAAAAAACTGAAGCAAAAAACCTCAGAGTTCCCTCAGAAGTCCATCATCATGTGCTTCTCAACCCGTGATCCTTCAGCTATTCTAAATGTTAAAAGGCATCAAACTATCAGAAAGGTAATTCCCAATCCACAGAATCAAGGTGGAACGGCAGATACAGACACACTCCCAGGGCACACGCAGAAGCCCACAAATAAGAACAGCTCTAATGGAAGTAGCAAAACATGTGGATGAGATTAATAATAAGGATTTGGGCTTTTTTTTTTTTTTTTTGCATTTCTGGCTTTGCTGTTTTTCTTCTGCATTGGAGAACATGGGTTTTTACATATTTCTGTTTTTAATCATGTTCAATCTGAAGGAGATGTTATAGGACAGACTCTCTGAAAAACAACATATCCGGATGTGATAAAGGAAAAGCTGCTCCAATTAGTTTCAGTTAGGCAAATTGGTGGTGTTTGTCTTGTTTAATAGTGAGTGGTTTTGCTAATGGCAAGGACATGAAGGTAATTATAAGGAGGACACTTCTGAAGAGTAAGTATATGCAGATTTACATAGTTGAACTGTTACTTTGTCCAGAAATCTAACTTCCTATGCATTCAGCATTCAACTGCTTTAACTAAAATAGCTTTTAATTTACATCAGATGTAAAATTTTAGTTGCATTTAATTAAATGGGAATGGGTCCAACGCATAGTCAAAGAGACGTTGCTGAGTGAATTACGAGAAAGCGTGAGTACCAACACGAACTTTTTCTTTCAGTTTGCGGTAAAGCCATGCTCTGTGATTACAGCCAGGTCTACGGAGGGGCGGGTAAGTTTTAACGGTGCTGATTATTCTAGACTTTGGCCGGCATCGAGCAGAAGCAGGCTAAGCGCCAGATCGCTCACACCTGCACGAGCAGCCCTCCCCCGGGGGAAGGCGAGGCGCCGGATAAACGGGTGCCCGGCACGGAGCGGGAAGGCCCCGCCGGGGTGCCGAGGGGCCCTTCTAGGCCGCCCCCACCGCGGGGAGCTCTTACCGGCTGCCCCGGCAGCGC